AGCTAGTTTTGTGCCTGGGAGGCAGATTCATGATAATATTATTATTGCCCAGGAATTAATTCATAGGATGCATAAAATGAAGTCAAGACACTGCTTTTTACCATTAAAGTTGATTTAGAAAAAGCATATGACCGTATGAGTTGGGGTTTTTTGAGGAGAGTTTTGGAAGAGATGAAGTGACCGGAGGAGTTGCATACTATTATCATAGAGGTTGTTACCTATTCTTCTTTTAATATCTTGTGGAATGGTGGGCTCACTTGTAATTTTATCCTACTAGGGGCCTTCACCAAGGTGATCCTTTGTCCCCATATCTATTTGTGTTGGCAATGGAAAAGCTTACGCATATTATTTTAACAGCAGTTGAGGGGAAGTTGTGGAAGTGTATTATTGCGGGTAACAATGGACCTGGTGTCTCCCATTTATTATTTGCAGATGATCTACTCCATTTTGCGGAAGCCTCGTTGGAGCAACTAGAGCTAGTGCTTAAATGTATTTCTCTGTTTGAAGAAATTTCTGACCTAAAACTTAGTGTATCTAAAACCTTTATTTATTTCTCTAAAAATACTCTGGAGAAACTTGTTGATCTTTTGACAATTAGATGTGGTTTTGAGAGAACCAGAAATATTGGGAGATATCTCAGAGCTTGGGTGATTCATGGTCGCGCTACTAAGCAACATTATGTTCATATCATTGATAAATTATCCTCCAGGTTAGGTAGTTGGTAGCGGCTTTCTCTTTCTCAAGCTGGGTGTATAACTTTGGCTAAATCTGTTCTTTCTTCAATTCCTTATTTGCACATGCAACATGGTATGTTACCTGTTGGCGTTTGTAAGGAGATTGAGAAACTTATTCAGAATTTTATCTAGGGAGACACGCCTGATCACAAAGTTCGCCTTTTAAGATGGGATATTCTCCAACGTCCTAAAGATAAGGGTGGTCTGGGTCTTAAGAATATGGTGGTGATGGATGAAGCGTTCTTGGGGACACTATTATGGAGGCTTTGCTCTAAGGAGGATTCATTGTGGGGAAGAATCTTGCGTGCTTTATATGGCACTAATGGTTCTCTTTCTTTTACTGCTTCTGCTGGTTATTCTCGGTTATGGTCTCATTTATGTCATGTTTAGGCCAAGGTTCTATTTCATGAATATTGGCAGGTTGGAGATGGTAATACAATTTTATTTTGGAATAATAATTGGTTATTTCATGACGAGAAACTTGAAAAGTTAGCTTTGAATCTCCCTCTTTATGAGAAATCAAAATATCTTACTGATTATGTTTCAGATTCTGGCAAGTGGCAGTATGAGCTGCTTACGTCTTGGCTCCCTATTAACATTATTCATCATATTCATAGTGTATTTCCCCCTTCAACTAATGATCCCCTAGATAGAAAGTTGTGGTCCTTGGGTTCAGGTGATTCAATTTCAATAAAAGGAATATATACTTTGCTTTGTGAGTTAACACAAAATGGTTGGAATGATGGTTGGGAGGCTTGTTGCTAGCGTACGATTTGGAAGTGGCCTAGTCCCCATCGTATAAAAATTCTGCTTTGAAAGTTAACTCATGGAGGTTACCTACTAAATTATGGATTGCCTCATGGTCTAATGGGGAGAGTCTCTGTCTGATTTGTAAAAGTGAAGATGAGTATATTATTCATGTTTCGGGACTGTGCAGTTGTCCGTGAATTATGGTGCGAATTTATTCCTCAAATGCACTAGGATGAATTCTTCATGGGAAAACTTGATTCTTGGCTACATGATTTTTGGTTTACAAAAAAGTTAGATATCCATAATTGGTCTTCTATATTTTCTGTTTTTATTTTCATATTTGGTGTTGGAGAAATGAGGTTGCTCATTCTCATTTGATAGCTTCTTCACTGCCTCATTCTGCTGGTATCATTAAGCATACCCTTGTTCACATATTGGGGTCTTTTTCCTCTTCTATTTCTCATCCAGTGGAGGCTTTGGTTCGTTGGGACTTTCCTTCCTTTGGTTTTGTTAAACTTAACACTGATGGTGCTGTTAATGGAGTTCCTGGTGTTGCTGCTTGTGGTGGTTTAATTCATAATTACAAAGGGATTTGTGTTCTTGGATATTCTGCTCGTATTGGTATTTGTAATGCATTTTCAGCTAAGTTATGGGAAGTTTGGTATGGTCTTAATATTGCGTGGCACAGAGGTTGGCGTTGTTTAATCATTGAAAGTGATTTTACTTCGGTGATCGCTTTACTCACTAATCATGATGGTGCAACTCGTGTGTCTTGTTTGTTGACTCGTATACGGGCACTTTTAGATCGTGATTGGCAGGTCTTGGTTACACAAGCTTTTAGAGAAGCCAATAGTTGTGTTGATTATTTAGCTAATCTCCCTATTCTGAATTCTTCTTTGACAGATGAGTCTATTTTTGTGGTTCCTCCTTCTCCATTAAGATTGTTGCTTCAAGCAGATGCTGTTGGCGTTTGTCATCCTAGAAAAGGAACATGATAGTTTATTTCTTTTCTATTTTTATGCTTTTGTTGGTTTTTGTTTTCTTCTTTTTGTATTTTGTTGTTTTGCTAAAAAAAAGACCGCAACAGTCAAGAACTTGAACCCTAGTACTCTCAAAAACTTTTTTTTTGGTAAAAACTCTCAACAACTTTTTAATATTCTCTTAAGTTTTACAAATAAAAATAATATTAATATATATACAAACAGTAGTATTTATTATCTTCTTCTTCTAAATGTATTTAATATTCTATTTTAAACATCAAATATTTTGAAAATTAAAAGAAATAAGTATTAAATATTTTATTTTTTAAGTGTTACATATAAATTCATATATCCAATTTAACTAGATAGATATATTAAATTTTTTTAGTGAAAATGTGTGTAAAATGTTAAATAAAACGTAAGAGATGAATAACCTATGATATTGAATCTTAAAAAAGACAATATGGAAACAAGAACTTGTAACAGATTAATAACACGATAAATGCGAAGGAATGCAGAAAATCTGAGCCCAATCTAAGTTGTTCCCTTAAAGCGAATCTGCTCTATGCATCGGTGCCAAAGAACCGTGGACAATCCCCTCCCAGAGTAGAACATATTTGTCTCAAGAATGGTGGCACTATTGATCAAAAACCCCAATGAACACAATCGAATACTTGAAAGGATTGCACAAGAGATGGAAGAATGCAAACTAATTTTAGTAGAATATCGGAATGGGATTAGAAAATTAAGATAATCCTAAAGTCATCGATCCTATTTATAGACTTTGAACGGTCGCCAGAAATGCATCATTTCGGCAGCGAAATGGTGCTGAAGAACGAAAGACAACCGTGAACAAATGAACCATACTTATGCAATGGGCCAACTGTAAGTGCATCAATAAATGTTAAAATATTTTTTAATAAATAATAATGTTTCTTTTAGAATAAAATAGAGGATAATAGAGAATATCTTATTTTAAGAGCTGTTTAATTTTCCTCTTTAAATTCATACTTTAAATATAAAACTTCCACTAAATGCATGCTAATGTTTCATTTAATAAGTTAACTTTCTTGAATATTAGTAAAAATTCATCATAATCAATCTTTTTAAAGATAAGGTATGTAAGCAATTAGGATTAGTTTAGTGGTGAGAACTTCAGTAATTTGTATGAGCTAATAGGTTCAAACTTAAATGTCGTTGTTTATCTAAAAAAAGTTCAAGGTAAGTTATAATTTTAACGAGGATTTATAATAATATTTATGAATAACCTACTAATGATAATATTATTTAGAAGAAGAATTAAGTCTTTAAGAGAGCTGCTTTAATTTTACCAATTTAAACTAACTTGGTTAGTAATAGTGAATAACCATCAAATAAGAGAAGTGTTGTGAACTCCCAACCCTTTTTAATATTTTCTCAAGTGTTACAAACAAAATATATTAATATAAAAGAAGAAGTTTTTATTATCTTCTTCTTCTAAATTTAATATTGTATTTTGAATAATTAAGAGAATATTATGTTAATTCATTAATTTAAATTTTTTTTTTTTAAACTCATCCCCAAGGAATTTGCTACCGAGTGTTCTTAAGGTATTATTAAGGAATAAAAAATTTAATTTTAATAAATATTTTTAACATATTAAAATCTTAAAAGTGTTTATTAATATTTCAAGTATCTAAAAATATTTAAAATAAAGTATTATACTACTTCTTAGTTTTTCGTTAATATTTTTACATTATTCATTAATAATTCATAGATATATTGGAGAAGCACCTAGATCCAAAAGAAAAACATTAGCCTATTAAACTAGACATCTCTATTTTTAGGATAGAAAAAATATGTTAGAATTTAATTTTTTCATATATTAATTTTCTTGACTAGTATTCAAAATATATCAATAAAAATTATTTAATATTTTCATTTTAACGTAATAAACATTTTACTTTTTACTTTTTACTTTTAAATATAAATTCATTTATCAATTTTACTTGACAGCCAAAGTTTATTTTAAAATAATAATTAAAATTTTAAAAGAATTAATTTTCAACATAACACCTAAATCTCTTTGATAGTTTGAATAGTTATAAATTCAATAGCTACCAAAGTTTCCATTCTTTTAAACAAAAAAAATTAAAAAATTTCCAATAAAAAAAGACAAACATGTGAATTGTACGAACTCACCAGCAAGCAAGTTTTACATAAAATATTTTTTTGTTGTACAAGATCTCTTAACTACATCATTCATGACATAATTAGTATATAAAATATGTTTCCATCCACTTTTTTTTTTTATTATATAAGATAAAATTGTTTTATGGAAGATGAGAAACATATTCCCATAAAATATTGCAAAAGCCATTAGTGAAAATGAGACCAAAGTTATCTTCCTCAGACAGTGTTGTATGCTTATTTTGTTTCAGAATTTTGACAATTTCTGTATTTTTGTATTTTCATTTCGTATAATTCTGTATTTTTGTTTTAACAGAGAGAGAGAGAGAGAGAAAGTGGTAGTTTATAAGATTCCTTTCGCATGGCATCACAAGGAAAATTAAGAGAGAGAGAGAGAGACTGTCTCAGCACAGAAACAGCATTTTCATTACATTCGTTCCTAACCTTTTCCTAATTTCCCTCTGTTGTACGCATGCTTTCTGTGGCCAGCTTCTATATTCTATTATCTCCCCCTTCTCTCTCTACTTCCTCTCAACTTTTCATGCCCAACTTGTTCTCTTCTCTTCCTTTCAACTTCCCAGGAGTTTCGATGCAAAAAAATTCTACCTTGTACGGTTGAAAAGCTGTGACATTGAGTTGTTGGGTCCTGTGGAATGAAGCTGCAAGTTTGGATTTTTCAATTCTGGGTTGGTTGTCTATGATTGCTGGGTAATTTCTGTTATATTTTCTGGTTTTGGGTGAGCAGCTATTGTTTGGATCCATGCTCATGCTTCTGTTCAGGATGTATGGATGAACTAGCTTGAGGGGTTTATTGTTTTTGTTATCTGATGTTAGTAGGTGATTAAAGTCTGTGTTTTTGCAGGTAGGGTTTGAAGTATTTGTGTGTTTATTGTAATTTCTTCAACTGGGTATCTTATTCTGGTGGATTTGGAATCTGGGTGTTTTTAATTTTGTTGGTTTTTGTGGGGGGTTTTGTTCATGGAGGCTAAATTTGAGGGTAAGAATCAGTATTTTTATGGACCACTGTTGCCAGAGATGAAGGCTGTTGGGAAGAGAAGTTTGGAATGGGATTTGAATGATTGGAAATGGGATGGGGATCTTTTTACTGCTAGGCAATTGAATTCAGTCCCATCAGATTGTAGGAGTCGTCAACTGTTCCCAGTTGATCCTGAAACCCCTGCAAATGCTGATACTTCTAACAATTTGTCTTCTGGGTGGGAAGGAAATAGAGAATTGGAGAAGAGGAGGAGAGGTGTTATTGCTGAAGGGGTGCAGATGAATGATGAAAATGGTTCTCTTAATTTTAACCTTGGGGATCAAGCATACCCTATCATGGAAGGGGAGGAAAAGAGTGAAAAGAAGACTAAGATAACTGGGACTACTTCGAACCGTGCTGTTTGTCAGGTGGAAGATTGTAGGGCTGATCTTAGTAATGCAAAGGATTACCACCGTCGCCACAAAGTTTGTGATTTGCATTCTAAGGCTAGCAAGGCACTAGTGGGAAATGTTATGCAGAGATTCTGTCAGCAGTGTAGCAGGTCAGTTTGGTTATAATATGATAGTTTCTTGGGGTGCACTTTTCAGATTTATGATATGTTCATCACATTATTATTATGTTATTTTTTTTTTGGTAAATTCTCTAAATTGAAAGATGAAAAGTCTGGGGTTTGTGTTGCTGGAAGTTTTTAAACTCCTTAGGCCTTCCTGTTTCTTGTAGTTGGTTGTTTAAAAGCTGCTTTATTAGTTTCCAGAACATTTACTTTAGCACCCCAGTTGGTGCAACTTGTTAAATTTATGGCAGGTTTCATGTTCTTCAAGAGTTTGATGAAGGGAAGAGAAGTTGTCGTAGGCGTCTGGCAGGCCACAATAAGAGGAGGAGGAAAACCCATCCTGATGCTACTGTTGTTAATGGAGGCTCTCTGAACGAAGAAAGGGGAAGTAGCTATCTGTTAATGAGTCTTCTAAGGATACTTTCCAACATGCATTGTGAGTTTGTGTGTTGTCAGAAGTTTATCTACTTGGCATTCCTCTAATCATAATCTATTTATTGGACTGTTATATAATGAAACTGAAATGATGCTTATTCGCTTGTTGTTTTGTCTATATATCCTCTCTAAATTGAGGAAAATTTGATAATCATAAAAATAAAAAACGATAGGTGGAACGTGCTGCATGGATGACACCTTGCTGGAATGTGTCAATTGCATGGATAACACCTTGCTTGTAATCATGCTGTTTCTCTAATAGTTTCTGTTAGTAGTTAGGATTCATGCTAGGTCAGACTCTTGCAGAATTAGTTACACTTACAGCCTTGCTAAGTCAGAGAGAGTTATAGTTAGGTAGCTTTCTGATACTATATAAATATCTGTGTTGTAATTGTAACAATCTGAAGCAGTTTTTCAATTGCATCAATCAGAATTTTCAGAGACTACATTCTCTCTCTTCTTTCATTTTCGGTCACTTACTCTCGCTTTTCATTCAAGATTGTTACCGAAATTTTAAAGCCTTTGGCACAGATAAGCTGATACATTACAATGAGCATAAATAGAACTTGCCTAAATTATGTTATTGAAACTATATAGATTCACACTTATTCTTAATTCCTGGTATTATTTACTAAGGTATGTGTGGAGAATTTTCCTTTTTTTCTTATTTGCTGCATTGGTTGGGCGATATTTCATTGCTGAAGTGTAGAATGACTTCATGTTCTTAGTAGTAGAAGTTTTGAGGCAGTTGGAAAAATTAATCTTTTGTAAGGAGCCATTTACCTACCTACGAACGAACTTTTATTAGTCCCTAGTAATTCTTATGAGAGGGCAACTTCCACCCTATTGATGGACATCAATCGTTTTAATTTATTCAAAGCTCATTACTAATCAATTGAAATTGACTCAGGCTCCAGCTGTTCAACAAAATTGCAATTCATGTTTTTGGAATTACAATTCTAGTATTTTATGATTGCATTTCGCAAGGAATTAGGTTTCCTAGTGCATGAGGCTCCCACTATTTAGGTTGGTTGACTCATTGATTATTGTCCAAGTTCAGGTAACTGGAAGTTATTGCTAACTTTATTGGTACCAAACACCATAAAACTGAACATAATGCTTAATATTTATAGAGTTCCCTTTCTTGTTTGGTATTGTTAGAGAATAGTATCAACATCAACATCACCTTTATCCCAAATTAATTGGGGTCGGTGGTAGATGAACCCACATGAAAGATACAAAACGGTTGAAAAAGATAATAAATTAAAAAAATAAATTAAAAAAAATAAACAAAAATAAAAAAATAAAAATAAAAAAATATATATGTATATATAAATAAATAAAAGTAAAAAAGAAAGGGACAAGAAGAAGTGGGGGAAGTGAAGGGGAAAAGGACTAAAAAGGGACCATCTGGAACATAGGAATAACAACGGGTCTAACCCTCCAACATACTTATAGCTTTTTTCCATTCCGTTCTAAGACATACCGTCCGCCAATCTATATCCCACTCCATTAAATCTTGTTTTACTACCTTCCCCCAAGTAAGTTTCGGCCGACCTCTGCCTCTTTTTGTGTTGAGCTCTTGGTAACAAACTTCTGTTCTTACAGGAGCATCCAGGGGCCTTCTCATCACGTGCCCAAACCACCTCAATCTATGTTCTCTCATCTTCTCGGCTACCGGTACTACTCCGACCTTTCGTCGAATATCTTCATTTCTTATCTTATCCATCCTTGTGTAACCACACATCCACCTTAACATCCTCATCTCTGCTACTCTCATCTTATGCTCATGTTGCCTATGTGCTGGCCAGCATTCCGCTCCATATAGCATTGCCCGTCTTACTGCCGTTTTATAGAATTTTTCTTTTAACTTAAGGGGGATTTTGCGGTCACACAAAAACTCAGATGCACTGCACCATTTCATCCACCCTGCTCTGATTCTGTGATTTACATCCTCATCAATCTCTCCACCTTTTTGTAAAATGGAGCCCAAGTATTTAAAAACATCTTTTTTGGGTACCTCTTGACCACTTAAATGCACGGGCTCTTGGTCCCCATCTCGTACCAGAGAAAACTCACACTTCAGATACTCAGTCTTGCTTCGACTTAATGTGAATCCTTTGGATTCCAATGTGCTTCTCCACAATTTAAGTTTTCTATTAACACCCTCCTTGCTCTCATCAATAAGCACAATATCGTCTGCAAAAAGCATACACCATGGCACTTCTTCTTGAATATCTTTTGTTAGTTCATCCATAACTAAGGCAAAGAGATAAGGACTTAGAGCCGACCCTTGGTGTACACCAACCGTGATAGGAAAATAACTTGATGTTCCGTTACAAGCTTTTACACATGTAGTAGCCCCATCATACATATCCTGGATTGCCTTTACATACTTTGATGGAACCTTTTTCTTCTCCAGAACCCACCATAAAACTTTCTTTGGAACCCTATCGTATGCTTTCTCAAGGTCTATGAACACCATATGCAAGTCCTTCTTCTTTTCTCGGTATCTTTCCATAAGTTGTCGCATCAAGAAAATGGCTTCCATGGTACATCTTCCTGGCATAAAACCAAATTGATTTACAAAAATCTTGGTATCTCTCCTCAAGCGATGTTCAATAACCCTCTCTCACAACTTCATAGTATGGCTCGTTAGCTTAATGCCTCTATAGTTTGAACAATTCTGTATATCTCCCTTGTTTTTTGTAGATAGGCACAATCATACTTTTCCTCCAAGCATCAAGCATCTTATTTGTCTGGAGAATCTTATTGAAAAGATTGATCAACCATTTTATTGCCACATCCCCTAGGTCTCTCCACACTTCAATAGGGACACCATCAGGCCCCAAGACTTTATTAGTCTTCATCCTCTTTAAAGCCTCCTTAACTTCATGTGTATTAATTCTGCGTACAAATCTTCTATTCATATCATCATACGCATCCTCCAAGTCCACCTCGCTTGTATCTCCATCCCCATTAAACAGCTTGTTGAAGTAGTTCAACCATCTTTCATTTACATCTTCATCTCTCACCAGAAGTTTTTGATTTTCATCCTTGATGCATCTAACTTGGGTGAGGTCTTTACTTTTCTTATCCCTTATCTTTGCAAGTTTATAAATACCTCTTTCACCATCCTTGCTCCCAAGATTTTTATACAACTCGTCGAAAACCTTGCCTCTAGCTTCTCGCACTGCTTTCTTTGCATTTTTTCTTGCCAATCTAAACTTTTGCAAGTTCTCTTCACTGGGACTTTTATGCAAAGATCTATAGCATTCCTTCTTATGTTTAATTGCCTCTTGCACCTCTCCATTCCACCACCATGTTTCCTTTGTATGAAATCCATTTCCTTTACTTTCTCCCACCACCCTCCTTCCCAAATTTTGAATACACTTAACCATCTCATTCCATATTGCATTTACTTCTCCATCAAACTCCCAAGGTTCGTTGTGCAACATTCTTTCATTGAACTCTCTCTCTTTTCCCTCCTTAAGCTTCCACCACCTTATCCTTGGGCTCTGAGCCCTCTTCTTCACTGTAAGTACTTTGTTGAACTGAACATCCAAGACTACTAGCTTATGTTGCGTAGCGACACACTCTCCAGGGTAAACCTTACAGTCGACACAAGAAGTTCTATCTTCTCTTCTAGCCAGAAAGAAATCAATCTGACTACGATTTTGGCCATCATGATAAGTGATTAGGTGTGACTCCCTTTTTCGAAAAAAGGTGTTCACCAACATCAAATCGTAGGCTAGTGCAACATTCAAGATATCTTCTCCAGTCTCGTTTCTCGTCCCATAACCAAAACCTCCATTGCTTTTACCAACATGACCATTTAGATCTCCTCCTAAGAAAATCTTCTCCTCTCGAGGTATTCCCCTCAAAACCTCCTCCAAGTCTTCCCAACATTGGCTTTTATCAGTTGGTTGCAATCCAACTTGGGGTGCATACACACTGAGGATATTCAGGATTAAATCACCCACAACAAGCTTAACCAGAATAATCCTGTCGCCTTTCCTTTTTACGTCCACAACTTTATCTCTGAAACTTTTATCGATCAAAATTCCAACACCATTTCGACTCTTGTTAGTATCTGTGTACCATAACTTGAAACCAGTTCCATCCACTTCCTTGGCCTTTTCTCCAGTCCACTTAGTTTCTTGCAAACAAACAATATTCACTTTCCTTCTAGCAAAAACATCTGCCAACTCCCTCAATTTACCTGTTAAGGTTCCTATGTTCCAGCTGCCCAATCTTATCCTTAAGCCCTGGGCTGTGCTTTCCTGCCACGCTCGCCCATCTGCGTGTTGGGACCCTGGCATACTTCTCACCAAATCCGGGTGAAGACCTGGCGCCTTGCCTTGGGGCAAGGACCCTAGCCCACTTTTCACTACACCCCGGGCCCGATGCAGCGCCTTGCCTTGTGGCAAGGACCCTAACCCATTTTTCGCTACACCCGGGGCCCGATGCAACGCGTCGTTATGAAGGGTACGCCCCAACGAAAAATCATATAGGTTTATCACATAAAAATATAGCTGTTTTTTACGGCCGGTTTGCAACACCTGATGCCAACCCTCCTCCTTTATCCTGGCTTGAGTATAAACCATTAAAAAGCCCTCACCCACCAACTTAAGCTTTTGGGTTGAATTGATTCTTTACATGGTATCAGAGCCTTGTGTCCCGGGTTCGATCCTCACCGCTCCCACTTTCTCTTCTGGAATTTTCTTAGCATAAGTAGGTGGGCCTGTGCATTGTCCACCTTACAAGCTCTGTGGGCTCTTGTGTGAGGCGGCGTGGTAGAGAAGAGTATAAACCATTAAAAAGTCCTCACCCACCTGCTTAAGTTTTTGGGTTGAATTGGTTTTTTACAGATATGATTTACATTTTTTTCCAGTATAGGCTGTCCGAGCCTGAATCTCTGTATTTATTATTATTATAGTAACAAGTATAGTGAGTTTAGATGCCCAACATTTATGACTTGGAGGTGGATTTATAAAGTCTTAAAAGGTAATTCATTGCTGATGCTAATAGGGATGATTTGGATATGTAGTATCTTAAGAGCTATGATGTGTGGCCTGTTGGTAGTGACAATTTTAATGGTGCTAACAGTTCTTATTTAAATGAAAGACTAGCTTAGTCCCTAAGATGATTCTAAGATTATATTTTTCTCCGGTGTGTTGAAAGTTTTAAGCTTCACAAGTAGATTAACTCTACTTGAAACGTAGATGATTTATCTTCAGTAATTTAGCTTGACCCCTTTGCTCTTCTTTGGACCGTTAACTGCCAAATGGATGGGAAAATCATTTGGGCAATGTGAGTTGGCCAGAATGGATCATCTGATGTAGAATCTGATTAAAATTCGCCAAAATTGTGACTGGCATGAAGTATTTGGTCAAAATGTACAATAACGATTCTCTGTTTTTTTCTGGACTGTACCATCAGTTTCATTCACTTGATTTTGTTTCCATGTGCCTTCTAACTTTTGGGCTCATAAATACTGGATAACTAGAAAGCTGGAATGTTTGCCCTTCTTAGTGAGAGTGAGTTCTGCTGAAACATTTCTTGAAAAAGATGAAGGCTGCCTTTTGAGCTCATTCTAATTATCTCTGCTTTTGGTATTTTTATGTCTATCTACCATCATTTTGGTTTCATCATTGGCATATTTATTTGACTCCATAAATTTTGCCTTCTATAAATTGCAGCAGATGGCTCAGATCATACAAGAAACCAGGACGTTCTGTCTCATCTGCTGAGGAACCTGGCAAGCATGACTGGTACAATTAATGGAAGAAATATAGCATCCTTATTGGAGGGATCTCAGGAATTGGTAAAAGCAGGGACATCTGGAGCTGCACAGAATGTTCCAAACACAAATTCAAATGGTCCTGAACTGCCCAGACCTTTTGGTTCTTCTATCGAGATGGATAATGGTCTAATCCATCAAGACCCTCCAGCATCCAGGGTACAGTGTGAGATGGTTCCTGCTAATGATATGGCCCAAAAATGTATACCTTCAGGCAGTTGTGGAGTAGGAAGTTCAAAATCTCCTTTAGGACTGCAGTCCTCAGATGTACTTCTGCTTAGGGATAGCTCTCCTCCCCAATCAGTTGCAGCAGAGACTAGTATTGGAAGAAATGGGTTAAATAATATAGACCTGAATAATGTATATGATGATGTACAGGATCATGTTGAGAACCCCAAGAATTCTCATCTTCCTGTGGCATCAGGAATTGGGTCACTTGATCATCCTTCATGGGTACAATGTGACTCTCTCAAGTCAAGTCCACCACAGACAAGCAGAAACTCAGATTCAACCTCTACCCAGTCACCATCTAGTTCTAGTGGAGAAGCTCAGGTATATTATATGAGTAATTTGAATTCATTTCCTTATTACTGTATAATTTGAAAATGTTCCTAATACCTTTGTATCAAAGAAGTTATGGTTTTTCCAAATGTTTATTGTGGATGATTGTTTAAATATCTTTTCGTGATGGATGATTATCACAAACATTGTACCTAGCTACCCCCCATGGGGTTTTGTTCCCAAGACCATCATCAATTGGGGTCTATTATTCAGTTTCATCTACCTTTCCTAGTGACCAGATTATTTTGTATGAAAAGGACCTATATTTTTATTAAATTGTTGATCATGCTTGGCTATCATTGTATTTATCGGTTCTGTTGTGTGTCTTAGATACTTGTTATTCTTGAAAGAAGAGGTAAGATTTAGGCTCTTGATTATTATGTAGAGTATAATGCATAGTCAGATGGGTATATTATGTTTATTACCAAACTTATAATTTATTTGTTGGTTTTAATTTGTCTATCTTTTAATCCGAATATTCATGTATATTTCTCAGCCATTGCAAAATCCATGTAATTGGTTACCTAAATTTTAGAAAGTCATGTTTTTTATACTTGTGTGTATATTTGATTTATTTCTTGCTAATTGATAAAGTGATGTACTTCAGTGTTCTCAAAAGTCATAGTCTATATAGAGAATATAGCATTCCTCCTTCTCCCCAGTTTAACTTTTGATTTTTTTTATTGTAACTTTGGTTTCTGGTGGCTGTGAGAAGATTGTATTTATTGAAATGTTATTTGTTTACTGTTTTCTGTTTACAGAGTCGCACAGATCGAATAGTTTTCAAACTCTTTGGCAAGGATCCAAATGATTTTCCTCTTGTTCTCCGGTCACAGGTACTTTTTCCCTGCCTTGGAATTGCTATAAACAGTTCCACTGCATTATTTCATTGTGCAATGTTTGACTTATGGTTTTTGCGAGTGCCAGATCCTTAACTGGTTATCCCACAGTCCCACAGAGATAGAGAGCTATATAAGGCCAGGCTGTATCATATTAACTATATATCTCCGTCTAGAAAATTCTGCATGGGAGGAGGTATAATTCGATATAATACCATATGTATTGCCTACTGGAACCATCGGAACAATAAAAGTTCTAAATGTGCTTATTACTATTTGATAATGCAGCTATGCTATAATCTAGGATCCAGCATGAGAAAACTTCTTGCTGCATCAAATGATTCTTTTTGGAGAACAGGATGGGTATATACAAGGGTGCGGCACTCTGTAGCTTTCCTGTATAATGGTTTGTTCTCTCACACTTTGTGTGTTGCATGCATTCTTCTCATGTGATTGCATTTCCAGTATGAGTAGAATCTACTATCATCTTACTTAGGTAACTAAAATATATGTATTTTTGTTTCTTATATATCTCCTGCAGGTCAGGTGGTCTTAGACGCGCCATTGCGCCTCAAAAGCCAACAAAATTGTCAGATTTTGTGCATTAAACCACTCGCTGTTTCTGCAAGTGCAAGTGCTCAATTTATTGTGAAAGGATTCAACCTTTACCTGTCTAGCACAAGGTAAATCTCCATACACCTGATGATATTCAAATTCGTCTAATAGAAACTCGAGAGGTTCTAGCTCCAAAAGAGCATAGGCAGAGCCGTAAAGGCATATGTTGAGCTATACTTTTTTCAGTTATCATACTGCTGGATATACTATTTTATAAGAAGAAATTAGGAAAAAACAACTTGTTGGAGATATCTCGTATGTCCCCAGACTCAAGCAATGATTAGATGGGATTTTGAAAGAAAATATAGCCACATGTGATTAATATTATGCAATAGTTTTATAGGCACTGAAATAGCTTTAAAAATGGATGGGGGAGAGAGAGAGGGGGAAACAAGGAAACTTTACTGAAAATGTCCAGGTATAATCTTGCCAATGATTCGGAAAGGAAAATCCATGTTCTGGATTTTGTTTATGGGAATTGGCCCAGGAGTTAATACCTTCCTCTTGATTTCAGGTTGCTCTGTGCACTTGAAGGGAAGTATCTGGTACAGGATAGTTGTTATGATTTGATTGATGGTGCTGATGCAGCCACTGAACATCATGAGCTTCAGCATCTCAGTTTCTCTTGTCACATACCAAATGTGATTGGGAGAGGTTTTATTGAGGTGGTATCTTACTCAATTTTTTTCTGAACATATATATATTTTTCCCTGGTCTTCTTTTCGGCAAAGTGAAATCTGCTCTAAGTTCATGAAATAATTTTTGTTTTATTCAATCTAAACTTCTTTATTTTAGCAGAAGCTCGGAATGAGCTGGAGCATACTTTTGAGACTTCCTTCATTAATTTTTCTAGATGATTCAATATTTGCTGCTATTGATGCCTGCCATTTGGTCATTCTGGTCACTTTAGCTTTTATAAACTTTGACTTGATCATTGTCCTATATAGTTTTAGGTTTTCTTATGAACTACTGAAAACCGATCTATGAATGAGAGTGAATGTTAAGTTTGACATCCCCCCTTCCCCTTTTTCCTGTCTTGAGACCGTGAGTTATACATAATCATGTGGTTTTTTCTTAGGTGAAACTACTTATGTAAAAGAGATGCTTTGTTCGTGACACCAAACTATAAATTTTAGAAAATGGTTTAAGAAATGGCTGAGTAGAGGCAAGTTACATATTCCTAGAAAGCATATAGATGGTTTCTGCAGATGAAGCAGAGAATTGCCAAGTGGTAGAATTAGATAAAAAATATTCTGCACAAATGGGGGTTTCTCCCCCCATCTTTTGCTAGCTTTTGAAGCTATATTTTCATATCTGGTTTGATAATTTTTACACAGGTGGAAGATAATGGACTTAGCAGCTGTTCATTTCCATTCATAGTTGCAGAGCAAGAAATTTGTTCAGAGATCTGTAGGCTGGAGAATGTCATTGAGGCAGCCGAGACTACTGATGATGTCCAGATAAAAACGAAACTAATGGAAGAAAAGACTCGAGCTTTGTATTGCATACAGGAAATGGGTTGGCTCCTTCATAGAAATCATATGAAAGCTAGACTAGGTCCCATGGCACCTGTCCAAGATGGCTTCCAGTTTAATCGGTTCACCTGGCTTGTTGGCTTCTCCATGGACCATGATTGGTGTGCCGTGATAAAGAAACTCTTGGACGTTATCTTTGCGGGTGTTGTTGATACAGGAGAGTATACCTCTGTTGAGCTTGCATTGTTAGACATGGGTCTTCTACACAAAGCAGTAAAGAGAAATTGCAGGCCTATGGTGGAATTACTGCTAAAATTTGTGCCAGTTAAAGCTTCGGATGGTGGAGACAGTGAAGAGAAGCAAGCCAACAAGTCCCCTGACAGATTCTTATTTAGACCTGACGCTGTTGGGCCTGCTGGGTTGACTCCCCTTCATGTTGCCGCAAGTATGAATGGCTCGGAGAATGTATTGGATGCATTAACTGAGGATCCAGGAATGGTAATTCCTTTCTCTCCTGCATGCATCATATTTCTTCAGTTCATTTTTTAACTAATACAAACTCTTGGGGTGGAAGGGTTGCCTTGGCACAACGGTTGGTGTTGTCACCATGTGACTCAGACGTTACTTGCTCTATTCATGTAATAGATCTTCTTGCAAATGCAAGATATGGCTGCCTGCTATAGACATACACAATGAGTCTGACCCTTCCCTAGACCCTACGCGTAACGGGAGCTATGTAGCTTTAGGTTACCCTTGTACATAGCCTAGGGGTGGGAGACTTCATTTAAACCTTTATTTATACGATTGATACTTTCAAGCACTCTCCCTCTTCCTTTCTTTTCATCTGCTCTTAAAGCATGTGTGATTTTGAGCACAATGTCAATCCTTAATTGAATTACTTGTGGAAGGATTTAATAAAAATGTTTTATTCTTGTGTTTACCATGTTCAGGTGGGAACGGAGGCATGGAAAAGTGCTAGGGATAATACAGGTTTGACACCAAATGACTATGCATCCCTACGGGGCTTCTACTCCTACATTCAACTTGTTCAGAGGAAAACAAGCAAGAAATGTGGAAGTCAACATGTGCTTGATATCCCAGGCACCCTTGTAGACACTAACATAAAGCAGAAGCAATCAGATGGGCATAGGTCATCAAAAGTTTCATGTTTGCAAACTGAGAAGATTGAAATAAAAGCAATGCCACATCATTGTGGGCTCTGCCAGCGCAAGCTGGCATATGGTGGCGTCAGAAGGGCACTGGTTTATCGGCCGGCAATGCTGTCGATGGTGGCCATTGCAGCTGTATGTGTCTGTGTGGCTTTGCTCTTCAAAAGCTCCCCCAGAGTTAATTATGTATTCCAGCCCTTCACCTGGGAATCATTGGAGTATGGATCCATCTAATGTTGTACATCAGATGTTCTATGCAGTAGGCCTGCATTTTTTTTTTTATTTTTTTTTTACATTTTATTTTTGAAGTGTGAAATTATTAGTCTTGGGTATATACATATGAATGATGGAGCTGTCATCCAAATGCATAGGGAAGGTTTACCTTATGCTGTTCAGCAAGAATGTTCCCTATGCTATTATCTATCAAATGTTGGGTAAATGCTGTTTATTAGGTTATGTATATGCAATGATAATAGGGTAAGCTTGCCAGCATTTAGGAGGGTACCTTGTAATAGTCAATAAATGTAAAAGATTTACTACAGGTTAGTATTCTTTTTAAGTTATTATTATTTATTGATGCTATTATGAAAAATAGATAAGCTACTACATGTAGTAGATTAGTGACAAGAGAATTATATAATTTGCAGGCGACTTTAGATTGAATTTTGGTGTTAATATGTATTTGGATTTATGTAACAATAATTTTGTCTTAAATAGTATCAATTGGACAAAGATAATTATCCTTATTATTTATTTATAACGGAGGTTTATTATTTCTTACATTTAAAATAATTTTATATAAACTTCAACAAAAATTTAGTATAATTCAATAATTTTTTTATCATTTTTAATACACCACGTAATTGTTTTTACTAAGAACACTATGTAATTTTATGTACTTATAAGCAATAGTATAATTAAATGTTCTGCTAAAGTTAAGCCAAAACTTATCCAAGAAAATCCAGAAATATTATTTGAAGGGCAAATGATTTCTCTTTCAAAGACAAATTTCTCTATGATAGAGAGAGAAAACAAGAGGAATGAGAGAGAAAATATAAATGAGAGAAAGCAAAAAGAATGAGAAAGAAAATAATGAGAGAAAAAACATAAATTTTAGGGGGAAAAAAAGTATATAATGTTCAAAACCCTATTCTTTTAGTTAGGTTTAAGTCTGACGAGAATAATATTCTACAACTAACAATTCATTTATTTGCAAACTAACCCATTTACCATCTATTATTTGATTGACTAATCCTTTAGGTAATTTTATTTAATGTTCATCGAAACGACGTCGTTTTGGATTAAAAAATTAAAAAATTAGAATGATAAAGACTATTATATCCCTGAAATAAATTAAAATTACAAAAACATCATGATTTCTGTCCCAAAACGACGTCGTTTCGATGAACATTAGATAAAGTTATCTAAAGTAACTTTAGAAAAAACAAACCCTGAATTTTATATATCAATGGCAGAAAATTTTATCTTCTTTTTGCAGAAATCATTTGCCCTTATTTGAAATAGAGAAAAAAGTTTCCGATATTACTTTAGATAACTTTGTCTAATGTTCATCGAAACGACGTCGTTTTGGGGTTGAAAAATTAAAAAGATAAAGACTATTATAACCCTGAAATAAATTAAAATTACAAAAAGACCATGATTTCCGTCGAAAACGACATCGTTTCGATGAACATTAGATAAAGTTATCTAAAGTAACTTTAGAAAAAACAAACCCTTTGAAATAACCATTTTACATTTGACCATAGTTTTCTTACTCCTCACCATTTTTTCTCCCATTATTAATTTGGGAAGGGTTATATTTACAAATTTTTTATTTACAAACTACATTACGCACTCATGAGAGTACGTAGTGTAATTTGCAAAAATTTATAAAAAAAAGTTTATAAATGAATCCTTTCCCTGTTAATTTATCTTAAATTTTAAAATTACACTAGAAAACATCAATATGAAACTATTTCAAAATCAAATGTTCTTTAAAAAAAAATAAAGTTGTTCAAATTTATACATTTAATTTTGCAAAAATAATTTTAATCTAAAGCTTCATTCAGTTCTCAGTTCTGTGTCTCTGTTTCTACGGCTTCAATGTCACTCTCATTTTCTGCATCCATTCTTCCTTCTCCCATTTCCCATGCCAAATCCAACCCGAACCCGATAACCCAAGACCCGATTCCCCGGGTTCCCCGCAGCTCAATTTCACTTTCACTTTCAGCTCCAGCGTCAAAAACTGCTGCTTCTGTATCTTCATTTTCATCATCGTCTGCGTCGAAACACAGACAGCGGAAAGAAAGTGAATTTCCTGAAACATCGTATTCGGAGAGTACGAGGAAGACACAGATTAATAAGAAGAAGAAAAAGAAGAAGGTGGTGGAGAAACAGAACAATGATAAGGCATGGGTCCACACTCTCACCGAAACCTTATCCTTTCACATTCACAAGAAGCACTGGCCTAAAGCCCTTGAGGTTAGTCACCACTCGTGTGTTCTTAAAAAACTCACATCCTCATTTTTTCGGTTTTTTATTTTTATTTTTTTGTTTTTGTTATTGTTTTTTGTTTTTGTTTTTTGTTTTCTACTAAACTGTGTATATAACTTCAGTTTTGATTGAATGCTTGGATATGACCATATGCTGTTATTTAACAACAATAGATGATCCAAATTCTAAAATTTAGGAATAGGAATTTCTTATCTTGGAATAGATAAGAGTTTCTTCTTTTATAGGAATTATTATGAGTATTATTATGCTTCATAAGTAATTTGAATGTGCAGTTATTTGACATGCTTAGAGAACAACCCTATTATGAACCCAGAGAGCAGACTTACATGAAACTCGTTGTGTTGCTTGGAAAATGTGGCCAACCCCATCGTGCCCATCAGCTTTTTGACACTATAAAAGAAGATGGTTGTGAAAGTACCCAACTTTATACAACCTTAATTGCAGTGTATTGTCAGAACAACCTGATTGATGAGGCGTTTTCGATTCTCGATGAGATGAAGAACCTCCCTTGTTGCCAGCCTGATGTTTTTACTTATAGTACCCTGATAAAAGCTCGTGTGGATGCTTCGCAATTCGAACTGGTTGAGTTGCTGTATGAAGAGATGGCTGAAAGATCTGTCATGCCGAATGCTTCCACTCAGAACATTGTCCTGAGTGGTTATGGTAAGACTGGGAGGTTTGATCAGATGGAGAAATTGCTGTCAAGTATGCTGGAGAGCACTACATGCAAGCCTGATGTTCGGACAATGAACACGGTCATCAGTGCCCTTGGTAGTTATGGTCAGATTTTTATGATGGAGAAGTGGTATGAGAAATTCCAAAATTTCGGGATACAACCGGAAAGGAGCACTTTTAATATTTTGATTGCAGTATATGGGAATAAAAGAATGTATGATAAAATGTCATCAGTTATGAAGTATATGCATAAGATGCAATATCCATGGAATACCTCAACTTATAACAGTGTGATTGAGGCATTTGCAGCTGTAGGTGATGCTGAAAACATGGAGTCTGCATTTGATCAGATGTGTGCTGAGGGTTTGAAAGCAGATACTAAGACTTTCTGCTGCCTTATCAATGGTTATGCTAAAGCAGGTATCTTCCATAAAGTAATTAGCAGTGTTGGTTTGGCTGAGAAGTTACAGATACCTGAGAATACTTCCTTCTACAATTCAATCATATCTGCATGTGCAAGGGCAGAGGCTTTGGTGGAAATGGAAAGAGCTTTCGATCGTATGAAAGAAAAACAATGTCAACCAGATGACACAACATATTCTGTCATGGTTGAGGCATACAGAAAAGAAGGTATGAATGACAAGATATACTATTTGGAGCAGGAAAAGCAGATGATGATATCTGATGACATCTTTTCGAATCAGCTGTAGTTTTGTTATCTGATGTGAAAGAATCGATCAGTTTGGTAGTCTTGCTTCTTTTTTCTTGATGAATGACGACAACTCCTTCCCTACTTTGTGTAAGTTTATAGTAAATAGTGTTGGCATCCATTTTGCATTTTGATGCTGATAGCTAGTATGATGATCCTTCAAAAATGAAATGGAATCTTGAATACCTTAAAATGACAATAATATTTTGGTCAATGTTGAAATTTCTTTTGAAAGCAAACACTTGACAGCAAATAGATTACTTGAATGTTTTTATTCATGAATTTCAATTCACTTTTTGCATCTGTAGAAGGCTAAGAAATTCCAGCATTTTGACGTAATCCTTTTCCCCCTATGATGAATCTGGTAGAAAATCACTACAGTAGAAATTCTTGGAATGTCGTTTTGTTGTAAGTGTTACTGGCTTGGGGTTGTATTAGGTGTATTACACTTGTAGTTAACCTAAATTATTAGTATAAATAGGACTAGTAGGCTAGTGCATTATATATAAATTATTTAGTTTTATTAGTGAAATATATATCCTTTTTTCGAACGTAATCACTAAAATTTTAACATACTATCAAAGTTGCGTCCTTCATAGAGTTTCCAAATTTTTTTGTTTGACACCTGTATCAAAGGATCATGTCTCTCTCTCTCTCTCTCTCTCTATATATATATATATATATATATATATATATATATATATATATATATTGAGGAGACTTTTGCATTTATTACTTTTATGAGTTGTTACTTTGCTCGAATATTGAGTCACCGTGCCTACACACATTCTTCCTCTCTCATCCACCATTGAGATGTACATAGTATGACTCCTTCAAGAGCTTTGATCCATATCACTGCCTCTCAGAGTACTTCCATAGTCATATACTTCACCCATCAAGGAATACAAACCTAACTCTCCTACACAAGTCGTGTATGGAGGTGATGCGTGATTTAAATGCGCACACTCTCCATGCACATTTCATTTGCATTAAATTAGTAAATAGTTTGTCAAAAGAATTAAACCGGTGATATATTTGTTTTGTTTTTTATTTTTCATTCCATAGATCAAAAGGCCCCGTAGAGATTTTGAGGATCCGTGTCTCCAGTATCATTATCATAATAAGAATTGTTCAATATAAAAGTTTGTGGTATTTCGATCACTCATCGTGCAGGAATCTTGCTGATTTCTCACTAGAAAAACCTCAAGTATGGGCCACTTTAGTTTCTTTCTTTTCCAGTCACTTTTTCGGAAGAAAAAAAGAGAGAGAAGGGTTAAAATTCACAAAGTTTGGCTTAAAATTCACATTATTCTATTTATTGTTAACAATATGAAAGAGTTTCCAAGACTAATACTGTGGTTAAAACCTTAGCCACACCCAAATCAAATATTATGTTATGGCTTTTATCTTCAGTCTGTTGAAGGAACCTATCCAACACTACATAATCTAAGATTATGACATTGTTGCGTCATCGTTGAAAGAGGTTGTGCTCATGGAGCTGCACTGCTGCGGGTGGGTGGGGATGGAAAAAGATGTGTAGCGTTGAGCTCTTGATACAATAAGGAGATATTTTGTTGGTACGTACCAATTGGTGTCCGAAACTCTAATAGACCTATTAATGATTAATTCAGTTTTAAGTTTGAGCCTCTCTATTCTCGTTTGTAACTCTGAGAATCGAACCCACTATCTTAGGGAGATTTGAAGTAAAGGAACTGTGTTGCATTTCGAGTATGATAAGTACATTTATACAGAAACTGTAACGTGAGGTTATGTTACAATTTACTAGATAAAAGGGATGACCATGTTACACAATCTTGTTACTAACAACCTGTTAACACTAAAAAGATTGAAAATAAGCTTGATCAAGGCACTTGTGCAGTGTCAGCTAATTTAGGTCCAAACATGACCATAATTCAACGAAATGTTAGCTAAATGAGTTAAGATTGCATATTAATGCAGTAATGAGCCAAGTCCGAAACGGGCCTAAGCTATGAAAAATTAATAAGTCCAGCAATGACAGCGTAATTGGGCCAGATGATGAAGATCAATTTTAAATTATGGTTTGCTGAAGTTATGGACTATAACTGGTTGTGTTCTGCATTGTATCCATTTCCCATCAAAACAGGGATAAGGTTGGAAGCTTAGGCTTATAAGTTACAAGGCATTTGACTAATCAACTGGAAATGAAGATAAGTTAATGGGATTGACTAGATCAACAAACGTTTAATCACTTTAAATCTGCACGGTAACTATCTCCTTGGAGATAAGAGCGTGCAGTGGTCATTTTGTAGAACAGTTATTTAACTGACTTATTTAGTGTTATTAGTCTAAAAAATAAAGAAATTTATCTAACAAAAACTTGGCACTTTTTTTTATAAGCCTGGAGATTAATTACTGAGGAATAAAGTTTCTTTATTATCCTATCTCTTGTTCATTAAAAATTAAAGTTGAGAGTTAGCTAGTCAGTTAAAAATATCACAGACACAACCAAATTATTTGATGAATTTAACTTAATTGCTGACTCAGTCTTGGGTGCCATATATTACAATGTTTCTTCTTTTCTTGTTTTTAGTAATTTATTTGCGGCCTGTGGAAGCTGTGTATATCACTTAATCTTGATTAAGATAACACTAGTTAATGCATCAATTAGCTAAGGGTATGGAGGAATGTAATCCGGATCATGCGATGCTATATATTATATAGAGTTTGAAAAAATGAATTGCATTTTGTACCTATCAGATATTGAAGAGATTGAATTAAGAATTAATGCTTGTCCTATACGTTACAAAGATATAAGATGAATTATTGTGTTTCAACGTGACTACTCCCCCAAAAATGTATGATTTTCACACTGTTTTCATCATAATAAATTAAATAAAGCTTGAATCAGAATCTCAAGGGTAGAGTTTTCTATTTTCTATTCTATTTTTTATTTTTTGAAATCAGTGCTAACTGTTACAGCTGGCATTTTCTGGCTAAGGATCTATCTAACATTAAAGCCATGCACGAGAAAGGATGTCGATGCACATGAAGCTGAAATTCTCCCTTCGACATTAAATACCATCATGCTGCAGTGAGAGCATGCATTTATGTATTTGGACAAATATAAATAGGAAAAGATATTTCTGCAGTTAATGCAGTTAAGTTATCTACATTTATTAAAAATTAAAAAATTATAAATATAAAGACTATGATAACCCTGAAATAAATTAAAATTACAAAAATTTCATGATTTTTGCCCCAAAAAGACGTCGTATTGAACTTACTGCAGAAAAAACGAACTCATATAAATAATATACATTTTGTGAGAGATTTCTATGTTCAAAGGTAACAAGAATAATTACTTGTTCTATATATACCATTGAATTTTTACTGTTAATTGAAGGTTTCTGACTTGGCATTTTTTTTTAAATGATCATTCTAAATATTTTGGTATTTTTAACTTCGAATAATTAAACTTGGTTTTACTTGAAATGCTAATATGCAGGTTTGTCAATATTTGTTGGTTAAATTTTGAGTAAATTCTTAAATTGATCCTCTAAAATTTAGTGTCTTATCACATTAATCTTTTAAAAAACTTTTTCAACAAATTAATTAGTCCTTCAAATATTATCAATAGTTTTCAAATTCCTCCTTTTATATGTATAAAGTTTAATGTGTTAATAATTTTGTTCTGTCCTAAAGATAGAGATGTCTAGCTCAAAGGACTAGTAAATTTATCTCAATCTAGGTGTTCTCTCTAAGGTATCTATGAGTTAGATACCTTTAAATTTAGTGGATCACTATGCACAAAAGAGTAAAGAACAGCTTTCGCTAAAGGGGTGATGTGTATGCACAGTGACAACATAACAGTAAAGAGAAAGAATCATCATACATGTAGGTTTTACTTTCTACTTATAAGATTTACATGTGGGTATTAGAATTGTGGACCTTCTATGCCTCTTCTAGCAACCAAAGCCCATGTTTGATGCTGTCGTATTAGGGTTGATATCTTTGATATATATCCTCTTTTGATTTATCAAATTTTATTTGGATGGCCCCTTATTGGACCATATGATAAACAGGCCTCATATATGAGTCTATAACAATTGTCTCCCAGCCAGACAGTCTGGATGTCCGGGCTGTATATAGGTTTCTGACTTTAAAAGTCACCCGAATTTCTGTAGATTTCTTTGCATATCTGAGTTTCGATTAAAAATTACTCGGATTCCCATTGAGAAGTATCCAGATTTATTGTATTAAATTAATTCTAAGGGATAATATAAATGTCCCCTATCCCGACAAATTGAATCTTCAAATTGTCAGGATATAATTCATATAAATCTAATCTAAGTTATGATCAACCTTGAATTGCCTTTAGTTTCTGATGGTGATTTGCCCCCATGTCAAACTTTTATCGACCCGATTTAATTGCTTCTTATGAGACTTATTGTCACTTTATTCTGCAAGAGTATCTTTCTTGATATTCTTATTTCATTTTGTATTAACCTCAATTCTTAGTCATCACATAATTTCTTATGTTTTGACTTTACATGAACCGAGTTAACAACTATTTTTTATCTATTCACAAGATCATGAATTCGAGACAAGAACTTCATACATTTCAAGTAATGTTGATATCCTTACACATCGTAACTTTTGATTGGATTAACGTGTTGTAGCCAACATATGCCATCTTCGCATTTCATGCGCATTAAATGCATAAATCGTTTCATCCATCTAATCATTACTTTAGAGGTGTATTGACATTTTTGTCCCTGTCCTTTGTTATTCGTAACTCCAACATTTACGTTTTACATTTCATATTCCCCCTTCATTGCTCGTTCATTTCTCATTTGCATTTCTGAAGGGTCTTCTTGTGTTCTCTCTTCATTTTCATTTTTGAGAGGTCATCCAATTCAAAGTGCTTTATAACTTTTTAAACAGTTTGAACTCAGGTATCTTCTATGATCACTGAATCTTTCTTTGTCTTTGGCTTATTTTACGCATTTGTAGTAATTTGTATTCTTGAATCTTCGCATACTCTTTGCTAACTACATATTCTAAAAATTTAATCTCTTACTGCTTTCTGCCCCACATTGTTCTTTATTTGTTGGATTTGTTGAATCTCTTTGAACTTTTGTAGTACTTGTGGGTAAGCATATACTGTTTTCTGGGTTTTTTGGGTAAATCAATATATTATCCTTCCCTCTTTTATCTTGAAACATAAGAGTA